CCCTCGCGCTCCCGGGCGCCCCTCCGGGCGGGACCTTCTCCCTCCCGCGCGCCCACGCCCTGCCTGCCAGGCCCCAGGCCCGGACTCCGGGCCGCACTCACCGCCCAGCTCCACGCCTGCGCCGCGCACCTCAGGGACTGCCGAGAGAGCAGGGAGGTGAAGAGGTAAAGGTGGGGGCGGGGAGTGGGTGCACGGCCTCACCGCACTCCAGCCTGGGAGGGACCACCGGCCTCCAGCCCTGGGGGTGGCCCGGCGGCCCTCGGGCCCCGCCAGCACCTCCGCAGGCCTCTTCCGGGCGGGGTGCCGCCCCTCCCGAGCCGCGCGGGTGATCCCTTCCGCTAGGACTGCTCCAGGCGAAGCCGCAGAGGGAAATTTCCGTCGCCGCTCTTGGCCCTCCCTCCGGCCCGAAGAAGTGGGAGAAGCGCTGCGCGCGAGCACCCCTTTTCCCAGACTGCTCCTGCAGGGGAAGTACGTAAATGGTCTTGCCCAGGTTAGGGAAGGCTGAAGGCATGTCAACCCCTAAAGGGTGCCAGCAGCCTGTTGGGGACGAAAAGGGCCCCGTCAGCGGCGTGGTTTTGTTGAGGCCCCAAAGAACCACACGGGGCTAGGATGCAGTCGTCAGGGCTGGAAAGTGAAAATCTTTAAGGTCAATTAAATTAAAGTCAGTTAGGCTTCAGCTGCATTCCTTGACTCTCAAGAAATCTCGTAGAACGTGAAATCAGAGGGGATTAGATTAGATGACCTAGCCGCTCATCCAGCCTTGAGGTTGTGTGAGCAGATACACAGTATAATGAGGTAATTGAACGTCAATAAGCTTGGGAACACGGTTTCAAAAACGAGTGTGGACATATGTTTAACTGAATCCTTACAACTCGTTTAGGTTGTTGTTCCCAATTCACAAATTAGAAAATAAATTTGTGAGGGGCTAGAGACTAGGTCTTGCTCATTTTTGTAGCCTCAGCACCCAGAATTCAAATAAATCTTAAGTGAATGAATGAGGCGTATAAGGATTATCACGTGCCCAAGCTCACTCGGATAGTCATGCTGGAATCCGAGTCGTCTTGTCCGGGTGTACTGTGCTTATTCTGATTACCGTCTGCTAACCAACCAAACACTAGGTAATAATAATCACAGAGCCTGCTCAGCTCCTGTCTTAGTTATCTAGTGCTGCTATAACAGAAGTACCGGAAATGAATGACTTCTAACAAACAGAAACTTATTTTCTCACGGTTTTGGAGGCTAGAAGTCTGAATTCAGAATGCCAGCTCGAGGGGAAGGCTTTCTCTCTCTGTCGACTTTGAAGGAAGGTCCTTGTCTCTTCAGCTTCTGTTTCCTGGTTCCTTGGAGATCTCCAAGTGTCTCGGCATCTATTTTATCTCATCTTTTCTTTTGCTTGCTTGTTTAATCTCCTTTATGTCTCCAAAAAGGTTGACTCAAGACACACCCTATAGTAGGCCTGCCTCATTAACATAACGAAGACAACCCATTCCCAAACGGGATTATGACCTTAGGTTTAGAGGTTAGGATTTACAACACGTATTTTTGGAGGCCGCAACTCAATCTGTAATAGATCTCGTCACTAAAAAAAAAAAAAAAAA